CCAGAGCCTCCATCTAAGATGAGTTCACTGCAGTGTTAACCAGTCACTGACAAATAATGTTAATTATTGAGTGAATGGTTTAAAAATTTCCAGTGCTCACGGCACTCTTTCCAGAGAAACCAGTAGCCTCACTCTAAACATCATTTCCAATACTATATAACTATACATTTAAATCCCACTTTATTGTACATAGCTGAAAGTGAGTGATAAAAGGTTCATGCAGAATATTACTTAATATATCATAAATTGTACATGTTGTCTTCACAAAAGAGATTCTATGAAAGGGCTGTACATCTAGAGAATACACAGTGAGATTTCAAACTGAGGTATCACACTGCTGAACACCTTTAAATTAAACCCCCAGACTTTTCTGGAAATGTTAAATTTCTGCTTCAGGCACACCCCATCTTAGCATTATATGTAAATCTTAAAAGAAAAAAACATATTGCCGCCTGGGGGCTTCTGAGGTAGACTTTTTCCCACCTTTGGTGGGCTTACCTCCAAATACGAAAGAGCTGAGAGGCTCCTGCCGCCCCAACAAAGAAATTAACAGCGAACAGACTCCAGTTTTTGGGAATAATTACAAGTGAGTATCTTGACCAAATAAACCCTGTTGAAACAAAATATTTTTAAAGAAAAGTACAGGTACTACATAAATCATATCTGAACATTTAATATTAGAGTGAAATAATTATAAATGAGACTGTGACAACATAATGTGGAATAAAGGACGAGAAATGCTACACTCTGAGTCGTTAATAAAGAAACTATGATCCAGTGTTACAGTTCGTACATCAAAGGGAAATATTTATAGGGCAAATGAATATTAACTGTAACTTTTTTCCTACTTATAAAAATATGCTCATGGCAAAAACGTGAAAAACAAAAACCCATGCAGATACTTACAGTAACCGTCCTCTGCCTTCTCCAGCTATAATCTGTTAATTATAGCTATATATAAATATATATATTTATATAATAATATAATAATAAATAAATATGAATATAAATATATAAATTGTTAATTCTTCTGTGTGAGTGTGTGTATATGTATTTCAGACATATACCTTATGAACATAAACTGTGAAATAAATTGATGTAAAACAAAACAAAAATACCGAATGTCCCATATGGAACACAGAAGATATTCTTTTAGTTTACCTGTAGCCATCAAAACAGCAGACTGAGCTGTGCTGAGTTTTTCTGCAGGTCTGGCCATGTCAGCCAATCCAGCACACACCAACCCCTGGAAATACACATTAACACATGGGAAGAAAAGAAGCATCATGAGCGTGGAGCAATGGTTCTTAGCTTTAAGTAAAACTGAAACTATTTCAGACATTTCCACATAACAGTAGCTATAATTTTAGTGCATTGAGAAAATGGTTATCATGACAAAACACTGCAATGAATTCAGGGATGTTTTCTGAATTAGTTTGTATTTTGTTAACCACTTTAAGCAGCCTCATATATTTGAAAATCAGTAGTGTGTGTGTATATACGAATGATACTTGTACATTTCTACAAATGATACTTCTTTCACACGTGAATTTATATATTCTTTATACATTTTGGGAACCACTGCTGTGGAGGACGTCTGAAAGCTATTTAAGGTAATTTATATAGATTCCTCTCTTCATTTTTTCTTTTTTGGTCAATGTTACTCTTTTTTAAAAGTGGAAGTATCAGAAAAGTTCTGTTATAATTTTAGTTTCTTGGTTAGATAATTTTTCTTTAATGTCAAAGTATTCACAGCCATTTCTTCTCTGCTGTGTTTTCAACACTGTCTTTCACAGAATCGTCCCACTCATACCCTACCATCAGCAACTCTCAGA